TTAAGAGATGATACATAACCTTTTCTAGGAAGTCTTTTTATTACTTCACCCAGAAATGTGACTGTTAGGCACCTTTCTTGGGACTTTTCTCATAAATTGTTATATATATTAAGACACAGATTTTATCTTTTACTTAATTATAACTTTCATGATAGTACAATCATGGCAGATTCATCTTTCATTCATCCACATTGCTAGTCTAGTATCTTGTACACAGTCAGTATTTAAACATATTTGCCATATGAATAGTGGTACACATTGTGGCATGGACCTGATTGATACAGCACCATTCCTTACATTGATCTTCATTTTCTCTCCATTGAGCAGGAAGCATTATTGATGCCAACCTGAAATTGCTGCAGGAAGCTGAACAGCGTCTTAAAGGCATAGTAGCAGAGAAGTTTGCTATTGCGACCAAAGAAGGTGATTTGCCCCAGGTGGAACAATTCTTCAAGATCTTCCCACTGCTAGGTTTACATGAGGATGGGCTAAGCAAATTCTCAGAATACCTTTGCAAACAGGTATGGGCATTGTATTACAGTTCTCAAGAGTCACAGAACTTATGAAATGTATAATTTATATATATATATGGGATTTATTGGAATGGCTGCAGTCCAGATAATCCAACAATAGCTAGCTGTGAACAAAAAATTCAAGAATCCAGGAGTTGCTTGTCCCCCAAGGCTGGATGTCTCAGCTGGTTTCTGTATGTGCTGGAATCCAGAAGAAGTAGGCTCCAGTGCCAGTGAAAGAATTGGATGTGCTAGCAAGGACAAAAAGACAAAGCAAAAGCTCCCTTCTTCCATGTTTTTATGTAGACTTTCAACAGAAGTGTGGCCCAGATTAAAGGTGGGTCTTCCAGCCTCAAGATTTGGATCAAAGGCTAGTGTCTTTGGGCCTCAAAACCAAATTAAGGGCCTGTGTTTTCCAGCCTTAATATCCAGAGCAAAGCCGACAGTGGTGGCACACGCCTTTAATCCCAGCACTCGAGGGGGGGGGGGGGCAGAAGCAGGAAGATCTCTGTGAGTTCGAGGCCAGCCTGGTCTACAAGAACTAGTTCCAGGACAGACACCAAAGCTACAGAGAAACCTTGTCTTGAGGAAAAAAAAAATCCAGATCAAAGGCAGGATTTCCCCCTGCCTCAAAATACGGATCAAAGATGTGTGTCTTCCTACCTCAAAGGTCCAGACTAGAAGTGGATTTACCCACTTCAAACCAATCAGAAAATCTCTCACAGATGTGATCACTACTACCGCCCAGTGGCACATTTTTTTAATAGCCTGTTCTTTTCTTGGCATAGCCTAGACATCTGCTGATACATATTGATTTTCAAAAGACCAGGTAAAAATACAAAAAAATTAAAATACAACTTCCCATGAAAAGTTGAGTCACCCTTTCAAGCTGTTACTTAGGAACTACTTTCTGATTTTGTTTGGTTTTTTTTTGACATAGACTCTTGTGGTTCTGGGTATAACTCAGTATGTAGACTGAGCTGTCCTTGAACTTGAACCTCCTACCCCTGTCTATAGGACTATAGGCATGTATCACTAAGGGGCTAGCTTCTTTTAAGATCAGTTGAAAGGATATGTAGGATGGCTTTGTTGCCAAAGGTACTTGAGTATAAGCCTAGATCTTGAATTTGATCCCCAGAAGCCATGTAAAGGTGGACTGAGAAAACCTGACACTACAAAGTTGTCCTCTGACCTCCACATACACTGTGGCATGGATCTACCAGAGCTCACACACAAAGATTTAAAAAAAGAAAAGACACAGTTTTCAGTTATTGTGATGATACGTGCTTGTAATCCCAGCATTTGGGAGAGGGAGGCTTGAGGGTCAGGAACTCAGGGTTGTCCTCTGCTACATAGTAAATCATGAGACTTTATCTTTAAAAAAAAGATTAGTCACCAAAGATGGTGTAGCATGATTAATAAAAACCCAAAGACAGAGATATTGGGGTTCAGCCTGAAGACCAGAAAAGCAAAGCAGCTAGCCACTGGCTCTTACCTCTACCTCAGTCCAAAAATGCCAAAAATGACAGTCCTACCTCCAGGAATCCTCAGAATGAGACTGAGACTGAAACCTGGTTGCTCAGTCCTGTGATCTCCTGTGATATCAGTACTCAGGAGATAGAAGCAGGTAGATCCCTGAGTTTGAGACCAGCCTGGTCTACATAGTGAGTTCCAGAACAACCACGCAACCAGGGTTATGTAGAGATCTTTTCCTCCCCACCCCCAAAAAAAAGAAAAGAAAAAAGAAACAATGAAAAAGGAAACCATTCCACATTTATTAGTTTATTTTACTTTATTTTATTTTTGGTTTTTTGAGACAGGGTTTCTCTAGCTTTGGAGCCTGTCCTGGAACTAGCTCTTGTAAACCAGGTTGGCTTTGAACTCACACAGATCCACCTGCCTCTGCCTCCCAAGTACTGGGATTAAAGTCGTGCGCCACCACACCCAGTGACTCTCAAGCTTCCAAATGCTGCAGTCTTTTACCCCCAACTATGAAATTATTTTATTACTACTTCATAATTATAATTTGGCTACTTTTATGAATTGTAATGTAAATATTTTTGGAGGTAGAGATTTACCAAAGGGATCACAAGCCACAGATTGAGATCCACCACTCTATAACATTCGTGGTCTGTTAAATAAATAGGGTATAAAATAGTAAGCTGTCATTCTTATTTCAGTTGAGGAGAGTGGCAGTAAAGATACATACTTATATAAGAACTGAATATTGTGGAAAGGAATTTGGATCTTGAGATGTAGGTAAGAGAAAGGACTTTGTTCCTTTTAAACATTTAATTATGTGCTTTACTGATTCTAAAAATTTAGTTAAAGATGAAGTAAGATGGCTAGATATAGTAGCACATGCCTTAATCCCAGTACTCAGGAGGTTGAGGCAGGCAGATCTCTGGGAATTCTGAGCCAGCCTGGTCTATATAGTGAGTCCCAGGACACCCAGTGCCACATAAAGAGACTCTATCTCACACAAACAAACAGAAATTAAGCAAGATGACTCAGTGAGAAGAGTCATTTGCTATCAAGCCTAACAACCTGATTTCAATCCCTTAGACCCACAGAGGGAAAAACAATTCCAGTAAATTGTCCTCTGGCTTCCACACATGCACTGAGGCAAAGACACACGCACGCTCAGTTGTAAATGGAAAAACTATTAATTATATACTGTTTGGCCTATGACTCAGGCATATTCCTAGCTAGCTTTTACATCATAAATTAACCCATTTCTATTATCTGTGCATCGCCACCAGGCTGTGACTTACCATTAAGGTTCTGGCATCTTTCTTCTTCGGCAGCTACATGGCAACTGCCTGACTCCACCTTTCTCCCTGCATTCAGTTTAGTTTTCCCACCTACCTATATTCTACCCTGCCATAGGCCAAAACAGCTTCCTTATTAACCAATGGTTAAAATATATTCATTAGCATATAGAGGGGTGATATAATAAAACATTTAATTAAGTACAGTTGCTAGGCATCATAGTATAACATGTGTTTGTGATGCTAGCCTGAGGCAGAAATATCACTAATTTAAGAAAGGCTAACCTCATTTATACAGTCACTTTTAAGCCAGTTTGGACTATTTAGAGAGACCCTGACTCAATAATAAAATGTCCTATGGTACATTTTTAATTTTTAAAATATTTTTTAATTTGTATTTTATGTGTATGGGGATTTTGTCTACATGTATATCTGTTCATCACTTGCATGCTTGGTACCTGTGGGGGCCAGAAGAGGACTTGTAACTGGAGTTACAGATGGTTATGAGCTACTTTGTAGGTTCTGGTTATTGAATCAAGCCAGTGCACTTGATTCAAGCCATTCACTGAGCCATCTCTCCAGCCCCCTCAACAAAGCACTATAAATACATCAAGTTATATTTAAGACATTTAAGGTCATTATTGAAATTAGGAGTATTTTCTCCTTTTAGCTAATAGTAGTCCATATTTTCAGAGATTAAAAGATTATTTATTCTCCCAAAGAGGAGAGCATGCTGGGTATGATGACAGATAGCTTTGATCTTGGGACTGAATAGGCAGAGACAGGTAGATTTCTTGTACCTTGGAGGCAAGCCTAATCTACATAGCAAGCAAGTTCCAGGCCACCAGCCAGGGTTGTATAGTGAGACTCTGCCTCCAATCAGTCGGTCAGTCGATCAGTAAATAAATATAATCACATTCTCGGGTTCCTTGTCCTGCTTGAGCACCCACAAAGAGGTTCCTCAATGCTGCCTCCAACCTCTAACCACCAAGGGAACATGGTGGAAGAAAAGCTGACAAGAGGCTTTTGGTCTGAGAAATACGTGTCGGTTTCTTTCTGCTTTCAGGTGGCTAGCAAGGCTGAGGAGAACCTGCTGTTGGTGCTGGGGTCAGACATGAGTGACCGAAGAGCTGCCGTCATCTTTGCAGACACTCTCACTCTCCTGTTTGAGGGTGAGCCTCTCTCTCTACTATAGGGAGACCAAAGACGCTTTCTCCCAACATCTGCATCCTTGCCTTGCCTTTCCCTCTACTCAGGTGTGTTTGGTCAATCCTATAGTTTGCTGGAGTTGACCAGTTTCCAGATTAGTATCTGATTAGCAAGATTGGCGTCTCCAGAATGTTTAACATCCCTAACCCTCAAGACCTAAACTTAAAAAAAACTAAATTTAACCTAAAATAAATTACTTCAAGGAAGATGATCTATTCTAAAGACCCTGCTAGAGAAAACAGCTTTACTGTGACTTTTCAAGTGCCTGCTCATATACCAGTCACCATTTCTATTTAATAAATTTTCTTAACAACATCAAGCAACAACTAGAACTATCCATTTCAAATAGTAAGGTAGCTGAGAGGGATTGAGTTAGACCAAAGTTAATCTTTGATGGGGAAAGGAATTTATTTTATGGAAAAAGCATGTGGAGTCCAACTCTCACTTCCTTCTAGGGATTGCCCGAATTGTGGAAACCCACCAACCCATAGTGGAAACTTACTATGGACCTGGCAGACTCTATACCTTGATCAAGCATCTTCAAGTAGAATGTGACAAACAGGTGGAGACGGTGGTGAACAAGTTCGTCAAGCAGAGGGACTACCACCAGCAGGTGAGCAGAGGAAACTACCTGCAGGTTGAAAGCAGCTTTAGTCAGGGCAGCGCACTCAGTAAACTAGAAGGAGAAGAAAGATGCTGAAGGTATATTGTTCTGCACCTTGCCTATTACTACCTTAACAGAAACAAGATCAAATTCTTGGCCATTGAATATACGATAGTGCCCTCTAGTGATGCAAAGAGGATTTTTCTCCTAGGATACTGTTAAATGTCAAATATTAATAATTTGTTTTGAATTTTACCTTTTTTTCCTTATGGCTTCCTTTTCCAGAACTATTTTCCATATTTATAAGCACAGGAAATAAAAGTAGCATATAGAAATAGGAATGGCCAGCTGGACTTGGTGGTACCTGGCTGTAATCCCAGCAGTTGGGAGGCTGAAGCAGCGGGATCACCATTATCTTGAGGCCAGCCTAGACTACATAAGGAGATCCAGGCCAGCCTGAGTTAAGACTTACTGGAGTTTTTATTTTCTCTGTATGAATGTTTTGACCATGTGCACGTATGTGCAGCATGTGCATGCCTAGTGCTCATGGAGGCCAGAAAAAAGGAACCAGATCCCTTGGAACTGAAGTTATAGATGGTCGTTAGCCACCACATGGGTTCTGGGAACCAAATTCCAATCCTCACCAAGAGCAGCAAGTGCTCTTGACCACTAAACCATCTCATCAGCCCCTGGTGTTACTTTTAAATGTAATTACAAGGGCCAGAGTGGTTAAGAGCATTTGCTGTTTTTCTAAAGAACCTGAGTTTGATTCCAGCACTTCCATCGTGGCTAACAACCATCTGTGACTTCAGTTCCAGAAGATTTGAAGCCCTCTTTGACCTTCACACACACTAAACATACATTGTAGGCAAAATATCCATACATAAAATAAAAATAAATAAAAATTAGTTGGGCAGTAGTGGTTTATGCCTTTAATCCCAGCACTTGGGAGGCAGAAGCAGGTGGATCTTGGTGAGTTTGAAGCCGGCCTGGTCTACAAGAGCTAGTTTCAGTCCAAATCAGGAGCAGAAGGAGAGAGAGCACGAGCAAGGAACTCAGGACCGCGAGGGGTGCACCCACACACTGAGACAATGGGGATGTTCTATCGGGAACTCACCAAGGCCAGCTGGCCTGGGTCTGAAAAAGCCCGGGATAAAACTGGTCTCACTGAACATAGTGGACAATGAGGACTACTGAGAACTCAAGAACAATGGCAGTGGGTTTTTGATCCTACTGCACGTATTGGCTTTGTGGGAGCCTAGGCAGTTTGGATGCTCACCTTACTAGACCTGGATGGAGGTGGGTGGTCCTTGGACTTCCCACAGGGCAGGGAACCCTGATTGCTCTTTGGGCTGAAGAGGGAGGGGGACTTGACTTGATTGGGGGAGGGGGAGGGAAATGGGAGGCGGCGGTGGGGAAGAGACAGAAATCTTTAATTAATTAATTAATTAATTAATTAATTAAAAAAAGAGCTAGTTCCAGGACAGACTCCAATGCTACAGAGAAACCCTGTAAAAAAATTAATTGGCCAGGTGGTGCTGATTCTGTCCTTTAATCCCAGCACTCAGGAGGCAGAGGCAAGCAGATCTCTGAGTTCAAGGCCAGCCTGGTCTTCAGAGTGAGTTCCAGGACAGCCAGGGCTACACAGAGAAACCCTGTCTCGAAAAAAAAATTAAGTAGTGCCTAAACCAAAAGCAATCTTTGGCCAGAAAGTCCGTCCCTAGCTTGAAAGAAAAGTAAACCTAGTTAGCAACCTGAAACTTAGCCTCATAGGTGAGAATGGCCATTGGGAGGCAGGAATACTGTTCTGATTGATTTTGTGGTGTTTTGCAGTTCCGGCTTGTCCAGAGCAACTTGATGAGAAATTCTGCAACAGAAAAAATTGAACCAAGGTAATAATCCTTCAGCCTATGAGTTTCAATTACTCTTTACTAATGAAGTTTAGAGACTTCGTTAAAATGTGGATTTTAGTTTTTATTTTATTGTTTTATTTTGTTTTGTTTTTTGAAACAAGGTTTCTCTGTGCTCTCCTGGAACTCTCAATGTAAACCAGGATAACCTTGAACTCACAGAGATCCACTTGCCTCTGCCTCCCAAGTACCAGGATTAAAGACCTGTGTCACCATGCCCACAGTGATTTTATTCACTTTTTAAAAAATGATTTATTTTTATTTTATGTGCATTGGTGTTTCATCTGCATGTGTGTCTGTGTGAGGGTGTCGGATCCTCTGGTACCGGAGTTACAGTTGAGAGCTGCCATGTAGGTACACGGGATTGAACTTAGGTCCTCTTGAAGAGCAGCCAGACTCATAGCAATCTACCTGCCTCAGTTTTCCAAATGCTGAGATTACAGACATGAACCACCAATTTCCAACTCTTATCAATTTTTCCTAATGGAAGATACCATACAAAAGAATATATATAACACATGTAGTTGATAAAGAATAACAGATCAGTGGCTGAGGATATCTCCATTGGTAAGAGTGCTTACCTAGTATGCTCAAAGCCCAACACCACATAAAAACAAGATGATAGTTCATGCCTATAATACTAGCACCCCAGAAGGTAGACACAGGAGGATCAGAAGTTCAAGCTCATAGTCAGCTACAGCTACATAGTGAATTCAAGGCTAGCCTATACTAGTGAGACCCTATTTCATTTTTTTATATTTATTTATTATGTATACAATATTTTGTCTGTGTGTATGCCTGCAGGCCAGAAGAGGGCACCAGACCCCATTACAGATGGTTGTCAGCCACTATGTGGTTGCCAGGAATTGAACTCAGGACCTTTGGAAGAGCAGGCAATGCTCTTAACCTCTGAGCCATCTCTCCAGCCCGAGACCCTATTTCAAAAACAAAGTTAGGGACTGGAGAGATGGCTCAATGGTTAAGTTTGGTTTCCAGCACCCAAATCAGTGTCTCAACAATCACCTGTAATTCCAGCTTCAAGAAATCCAACATCTCTGAAATCTGTGGGCATCTACACCTCTCTGCCCTCTGCAGGCACTGCATGCTCTTGTTGAGTAGACGTAAATCTTGTGGGCAAAACACCTATACACATAAAATAGAAAAAACTTTTTAAATGTTTTAGTTTTAAAAATTAAATAAAAAAATTTTTACTGTGTACATATTATATACCAGATACTGGTTCCTAGGCTAGCAAAGTGACCAAAACCAAATATAATTCCTTTCTTATGGCACTTATAATCTATCAGATTGATGGTAATTGTTCTAGTTTGCTTTCTGCTTCTGTGATCAACACCAATAACCAAAAGCAAGTTGGGGTGGGGAAGTTGTTGACTTACATGTTCTAATCACAGTCCATCATTAAGGGAAGCTGACACAAACACTCAAGCAGGCAGGAACTGATAGCAGAGACTATGGAGTGCTACTTACTGACATGTCCTTCATGGCTTGCAAAGTTTTCTTTGTTGTACATCCCAGGACCACCTCCCAGGGCTAGCACCACCTGCCCAGGGTTCTGGGCCCTTTCACACTAGTCATTAACCAAGAAAATGCCTCACAGACTTGCCTGTAGTACAATCCTATGGAAGCATTTTCTCATTTGAGGGTCTCCCAGAATACCATAGCTTATGTTAAATTGACTTAAAAAAAAAACAACAACAACAACCAAAACTAACCAGCAGCTGCACAGTGGTGGCACACACTTTAATCCCAGCACTCAAGAAGCAGAGGCAGGCAGCCTGGTCAATAGAGTGAGTTCCAGGACAGCCAGAACTACACAGAGAAATCTTGTTGAAAAACCAAAACAAGCAAACAACCTAACCAGCATAATAATAATAGCTAATGTGTATATAATGCTCATTTTATGCTGGGCAATACTTAACAAATATTAATAATGGATAATAATGATAACTAACATGTATATAACATTCATAGTATGCTAGACAGTACCTAACAAATATACCACTTACTTCAAGGTGTGTCAACCTCCACACTACTCACTTTTTGGCTGGGTAGTTTCGGTGTTTTATTTTTCAGGAACTGTCCTATAAACTCTGAGAATAGGAGCATCCTTGTCTCTATCCATTGTAGTCCCTTGGGAGAAGCAAAAATCAGTAGTAAATCACTGATTTAATTTACAACTGTTTTCAAATGAACAGACTAAAGCCTAGAGATGCCAAATGACTTGACCAAGATAATAAAGTTAGAAAATGGCAGAGCCAGAAATAGAATCCAAGCAGTTTAGTTCTAGAATACATGCTGTTAACCACTGGGGTACATGAAGTATAAAGTACAGAGAGCATGTAATGAGATATAACCAAATGTGATCAAGTTTCAAGAATTCTTTCTGAGGAGATGGCCGTAAGCCTGAGACTGGAAGAATGAGTTTGAGTATAAGGAAGAGTGTCCCAGATAGCATAAGGAAAGTATGTGCAAAATACTGGAGAGAGCCTGAAATAAGATGATCACTAGGTGGTCATTAGAGAGTCAGGCCCAGGTCATGTATCAGTAATGGAGGACTGTGCAAACTGTATGACCAGATTTGTGTTTTGTCCAGTTCTTTTCAGTGTGTGAAGGGAGTTTGTATTTATAGTGAGATCAGGTTCATCTTCTTATTCTTGTGGATATCTCAGTGGTCCTAGCACAATTCATTTGAATGGGTCATTCATCCCTCCATTCAATTGTCCTAATAGTCTCAATTAAGATCACTCATGAGGCAGAGGCAGGAGGATGTCTATGAGTTTGAGACCAGCCTGGTCTATAGCTAGCCAAAGCTACATAAAGAGATCCTGTTTTAAAAAAACAAATAAAATCAGTTGACTACCTAGACTCTCAATTTGATTCCATTTATACATGTATCTTTACACTAGCAATGCGTAGTCTTCACTAGCTTTGGGGGGAGTGTTTGTACATGTGTATACATGAGCTCAAGTGCATGTTGTGTGTTTATATATGTGAGTCCCCAGGTCAGAGGAGACTTTGGGTACCTATTCTGTCACTCTCCTCCTCTTCTCTTGTCCACCTCACTTAAGACCAAGTCTATCACCGGACTTGAAGCTTGCTGTTTCAGATAGGCTGGTTGGCCTGGCTTCTTTTCTTTTTCTTTTTCTTTTTTTTTAAAAAACTTTTTAAAAGACTTATTAGCGTTATTTTATGTGCATTGGTGTGAAGGTGTCAGATCTTGTGGAACTGCATTTTCAGACAGGTGTGAGCTGCCATATGGATGCTGGGAATTGAACCCAGGTCCTCTGGAAGAGCAATCAGTGCTCTTAACCGCTGAGCCATCTCTCCAGTCCCTGGCTTCTTTTCTTTTCTCTTCTTTTCTTTTCCTTTCTTCCTTTCTTTCTTTCTTCCTTTCTTTCTTTCTTTCTTTCTTTCTTCCTTTAAAAAAAAAAACATGGGGGGCTGGAGAGATGGCTCAGTGGTTAAGAGCATTGCCTGCTCTTCCAAAGTTCCTGAGTTCAATTCCCAGCAACCACATGGTGGCTCACAACCATCTGTAATGAGTTCTGGTGCCCTCTTCTGGCCTGCAGTCATACACACAGACAGAATATTATATAATTAATAAATAAATAAATGAATGAATGAATGAATGAATGAACATGGGTGTGGGGGATTCCAACTTAGGTCCTCATTTTGTACAGCAAGCACTCTTAGCCAGTGAATTCAGGAAGTTCAAGTCCTCAAATTTCATTTTCTCAGGATTGTTTTGGCTGTTTACTGAGATAGATGGTTTAATGGTGTTTCTTAAAATCTCATGGTTCAATTAAGATTAGGGAAGAATATTTTATTTTACAGAAGCATAGGTAATTTTTATATTGGAGGTAAATGATTCAGGTACTAGCCAGTGAAAAATATGGTTGAAACTGGGTGTAGTAGCACACACCTTTAATCCCAGAACTCAGGAGGCAGAAGCAGGCAGATCTCTGTGAGTTTGAGGCAGCCTGTTCTACAGAGTTCCGGAACAACCAGAGCTTTATCGAGAGACCCTGATAAAGCAAGAAAAAGAAAATGTCTCTATGACAAATAAGGCAATGCAGTCACCAGGCAGAACTATCCTTATGTACCTGGGTTAGGAGGAGGGAGTCTGTGTTTACCTTGTAGCCTTCCATTTACAGGAATAAAGCATTCTTATTCCATGTGTTCTTTATCCTAGGGAGCTGGACCCCGTCCTGACTGAGGTCACTCTGATGAATGCCCGAAGTGAGCTGTACTTACGCTTCCTCAGGAAGAGGATCAGCGCAGATTTTGAGGTGGGGGACTCCACGGCTTCAGAAGATGTAAAGCAAGGTAAAAAATATTTTTCACATTGAATGGGAGAACTGGCATAAGCTCTTGGCACTGTCTTGTCACAGCCAAGCCACAGAGCTCCTAATAAGAAAACACTGAGTTTCTGGACAAAATGACCTTTAGAGGAAATGTTCAGTGTGCCACATCTTAGAATTAGACTGGAATTTTGAGGCTTCTAAACACTTTATCTAAAGGCAAGGAAAACCAGTGTCCATTCATTTCTTACACTTTTCTGTGTACTGGGTCTCGTTTATAGTTAGACTTAAAAACACCATGTCCTGGGCTGGCAAAATGGCTCAGATTGTGAGAGTGCTTGCTATACAAGCCTCATGACCAGAGTTCAGTCCCTAGAACCTATGGTAGAAAGAAAGAACTGTCTCCCTAAAAGTTGTCCTCTGACCTCCACAAGAGCACTATGGCATGCATGAGCCACACTCTCACACATTATTCACACACAACAAACACAGTAACAATAAATATATTTAAAAATTCCTACCATCACAGATACACCTACTGAACAGCTAGACAGTGCTGATATAGAGGAGAATGTGCTCTATATCTAATATATATTGGTCTTTGCCCTGGAAGCGTGCATCTTTTGTCTTCTGTGCAATCTTGGAGAACTGTTGAAAAGGAATTAAATTTTTTTTGTGAATTAAATTATTTGTACAAAATTGTTTATTCTGAGAAGTGACTTTATTCATGGAAAATACGAACCTGTTTGGAACAAAAACCAGAAGAGAACTTGAAAAATGAAAAACATTGCTGTTTCCCTTGGGGGGAAAAGTGAATATTCCTTTCTTGGCTGTCCCCTAGAGCACCAGAAGTGCCTGGACAAACTCCTCAATAACTGCCTATTGAGCTGTACCATGCAGGAGCTAATTGGCTTCTATATTACCATGGAGGAGTACTTCATGAGGGAGACTGTCAATAAGGTAGGACACTAGGATACATCTCTTGCAAGTGGAGCTTCCTGTCCAAGAAGCCAGGCTGAATGAAATGGCTGAGACCTGTCATATTTCTTGGTCCTGCTTTGAGAGTACTTCCAATGCATACTGGGTAGCACTGCTGTGTGTAAAAGGACATCTCCGGAGTTGTCATACTCTTCATGTCCAGCTGGGTCTTTCCCAAAGGTTACAAGAGAACCGCTCAGCTCCCTATAGAGCCTTGTTCCCTGCCTCCCTGCAGGTATACTGACATCCCAGATATTGGATATCACCGAGCCAGAGGCCCCAAATACTCTGTTTTCTAATGTAGTGATCATTAGGAAGTAAGGTGGTTTTATGTTATTTTGTTAAGGTATAGAAAAGGGTGCAGAAGCTGGGCTGGTATAAACAGAACTATCTAGAACATTCAGAACTGGGATACTCACTGAGGGCTTTGCCTTTTGTTAGGCTGTGGCTCTGGATACCTATGAAAAGGGTCAGCTGACATCCAGCATGGTGGATGATGTCTTCTACATTGTTAAAAAGTGCATTGGGCGAGCACTGTCCAGCTCTAACATCGACTGTCTCTGTGCCATGATCAACCTTGCCACCAGAGAGCTGGAAGCTGACTTCAGGTACTGTTGACTCCCTTTCTGCTTTTGAGGCATTAAAAATTCTAGGTGTATCTTGATTTCTCGGTCAGACCTGTTTCTTTTTGGGTCAAATTCAGTCCCAAACAAGATTAAGTTAGCTGGACATGATGGCACACGCCTTTAATCCCAGCACTTGGGAGGCAGAGGCAGGTGGAACTCTGAGTTTGAGGCCAGCCTGGTCTACAGAACAAGTTCCAGGATAGCCAGGACTCAGAGAAACTCTGCCTCGAAAAAACAAAGAAACAAAAACTTTGAAGCTGCTGTTCCTAATATAATATCCGTAGCTTGGAGCAACTGTCCATCAGTCTTAATTACCTAACTACTTTACTTAACCTAATCACTAAAGTATGTTGAACCTTACCCTCAGACCCAAAAGAAAAGCATGTGGTTTAGATAAAAACAGTAGTTTTAAAGACATATTTTCCATCTCTACAAGCCAAGGACTATACTGATAGCCCCCACCCTCTTACTGTTTTTTGTTTTTTTCAGGTTATTCTGGAACTTGGCTCTGTAGTCCGTGCTGGCCTCAAACTCAGAGACCCACCTGCCTCTGCCTCCTGTGTGCTGAGATTAAAAGTGTGTGCCACCATGCCCAGTTCAGCTCCCCCAATATTTAATTGTATAGAAACCTTGATGTAGGGCAGATGAGATGGCTCAGCAGCTAAAGACACTTGCTGCTAAATCTGATGACCTAAATTTACTCTCTAGAGCCCACCCACATAGGGGAAGGTAAGCCAACTCTTGCAAATCGTTCCCTCCCTCATCTACACAAATTTGCTGTAGCATGTGTCCCCTCACACAAAGTAAAGAAACTGATATGGGAACTGTGCTTTCAGTTTTGTAGATGTGGGACTGGGGCTTAGAGAGATTGTATCCTTTGTTATGGGCCACTTACCTCTAAAGTAGAACAGAAAATCCAGTATTGACTTGACTCAAAGTGTCTTCTTCAGCTCCAACGTGGCACTGCTTTTCACTGAGCCCTACTGTCCCCTCTTTGATGACGCTCAGTGGTAATAACTGAAAGCCTGATGAAGAAGCAGACATTAACTAGAACCACAGTGACCCTGTCAGAATCATCACAGACAGTGTGATTGCTGAAGAAGAGTGGGGTCCACCCCAAAAGAGCAGCTGGTACAGAGAGTACGGGTAGTGGGTGCTCTGTTTTTGCTGTCCTGTCGGCCAGGTTGAACACTAACTCGGCACATGCTCTTCTGCCCCGCAGGGATGTTCTGTGTAATAAGCTACGGATGGGCTTCCCAGCCACCACCTTTCAAGACATCCAGCGTGGGGTGACAAGTGCTGTGAACATCATGCACAGCAGCCTCCAGCAGGGCAAGTTTGACACAAAAGGCATTGAGAGCACCGATGAAGCCAAGCTGTCCTTCCTGGTAGGTAGCCCTCAGGCTCACAGCTGGGTCAGTTTTTTTTTTTTTTTTAAGGGTTTTTATTGTTTCGAAACAGGTTTTATAGCCAAGGCTGGTCTCAAACTTGCTACGTAATGAAAGATGACCTTTGACTTCAATCTTCCTGCTTCTGCCTTTGGAGTGCTGGGAGTATAGGTGTGTGTCCTATTTTAGCAGTACTAGGCATGGCGTTCTCTACCAACTGAGCCACATTCCCAGCTCCCTTGAGAGGTTAGACTGCGATCTCTTAGCCAGATTATAAAAAGCCTCAGGGTGAAGAGTTTTCCTCTAGAACTTAATAGAAAAGGAATATAGCTTTAAGGAACGTTCTTAAACCACTTCCTACCCAGGAACCTGCTCTGAGCAAACCTGAGGCATAATGTTTTTTGTTTGTTTATTTTTGCTTTTCTTTTCTTTTTTGCCAAAAGCCTAGGTTCCTTACTTCTCCTCAGTGTTCTTCCCAAGACTCCTCTGCCAAGCTGTTGAGGGGCTCTACAGTGTATGCATCCACCACAAAACCAACTCTAATGTCTATGTCAGGCTTCTATATACTTTTCTGAGAAGCTACAGTCTTGATGGATACCAGTCCTTTATGCCTCCCAATGCTGCTTTTCTAGTAACTTCCTTTTTGGAACATGCATGTAATCTCAGCACTTGGGAAGCTGAGAAAGGTAGATAATGAATTCAGGGTTATCCTGGACTACTATCAAGATGTTTCAAGGAGGACAGAAGGCATTTAGCCACACAAGCGAGAGATGTGATGAAGTCGTGAGTCTTCCCATCGTATGGTAACAGGGACAGAGAAGCCCAAAAGGATGAAAGTGTCTGTACAGGGTAGCAGCCAGTTTGTAACATACTGAAGAACACAAAAGGAATCTGAGGTTCGTAATCAGGTCTCTGTGGCACGTGCTGACTTGACATGAATGGGAATAGCACTGTTAGAGGTCCTTTGTGTCCTGTTTCCATATCACTAGACTTGAGTTTGGTGCCTGAGGCCTAGAGGCTGAAGGAAACTTCCAGAGCTGAACTTTTAGTCAACAGTCCACAGATAGATTGTATGCAAAAAATGTGTTCATGCAGTTCTTAGTGCTCCGCTTCTATCAGATTCATGTTCTTGGTCTCAGAGACATTGCCTAAAACTTGCTACCTTACCCTGCACAGGTAAATCACACTAACTAGTTAGTTACCAGACAGATCCAACATGGTTATTTAAGATGCCTTGTCCTTTTTCTGACATTGAAAATTTTTCCCTTGATATACCTGTAGTGGTTCACACCTTTAATCCCAGCACTCAGGATATCAGGGTGTTCTCCAAAAGGCGGATCAACCTAGGCTGGTAGAGTACATTTATAATCCCAGCACCTGGAAGGTGGAGGCAGGAGAATGAGTTGAAAGACAACCCTATTTATTGAGAAAGTTCAAAGTCAGCCTGGTATACATGAAACTATCTTCAGTTTTTCAAGACAGGGTTTCTCTGTATAGCCTTGGCCATCCTGGAACTAGCTCTGTAGACCAGGCTGGCCTCAAGCTCACAGAGATTTGCCTGTCTCTGCTTCCCAAACTCTGGGACTAAAAAGGCATGCGCTACCACTGCCTAGCAAATAATATATAATTTTTAGTTAACAAAAAGAGCTCTAAGAAATGTTTACTTATGAAATGTATTACTTTTTGAGAACTTTACCAAAAATGCCCAGCAAACACCATCATACTATGATGTTTGTTTGTATTCTATTTCTTTTGCTCCCCACCCCATAAAACTTATATTCATTTTTTCATTTCCAGGCTCAGAAGCATTCACTGGCTTCTTGGGACCTACCACACCAAAGATACATGTCTTTGAGCAGGCATCTGTATTTTATTTGGTTTTTGTTTGCTTGTTTTTGTTTCTTCAGTGCTAGAAATCGAACCTAAGACTTCACACGTGCCAGGCAAGCACACTGACCACTAAAATATGTCTCCCAATGCTTGTTTTGAGCCAAAGTCTCACCAACTTGGGCGGTGGCAGCACATGCCTTTAATCCCAGTACTTTTGAGGCCAGCCTGGCCTATGAAGTAAGTTCCAGAATAGCCAGAGCTGTTACACAGAGAAACCCTGTCTCAAAAATAAAAAAGTCTCACCAACTTACTCAGGCTTGCCTAGTTGCTCTGTAGCCCAGGGACCTTGAATGTACAGCTGTCCTTCCCCAGCCTTTGAACCGCTGGATTACTGGCACAGGCCTCAAGCCTAGTTGGTCTTTTGTTTCAGGCCTCCTAAACCTCACCCGACTACCTTTCTAATACTTCCCCACCACTTGACTTCTGTCCCCAGGGTTAGCCAGCGAGCGCCTTCACTCCGCTTCACTACTCTATGAAAATTTCCCATTTAGACAGTTTCATTGTTAGAAGACCCACGTGATTCGGCAAAAAGAAAGGTGGTGCTAAATGCTTGGTGACAGATTTCTGGTTTTCCCAGTTCCAAACACTTAAAATGTCATTACTTCCACCACAAAGCCTGTCTTGACGTTTTCTTTGTGAACTTAGCCGTTAACGGCTGAACCATTTCTCCCCCCACAAAGCCTATTTTGTATGACACTTTGATTCATTTGGCTGTCAAAATGAATTCCCCAACTCTCCTGACATCCCATTTGCCTTGAGCAGGGATAAACCCAGTGAATCCATGTTTACAAAGATTGTTAGTCCAAGGGAAACTCTAAAAGTCAATACCATTTGAACCCAATTCCATTTTCTCTTGACAGTTATTCTTGGTGCCCTTAAAAGCCTGGGAAACACTGGGTTGTGACCTTTATCCTTCAGCTGTCATAACAGGACAGTTTCTCTGGAAACAGCGTTAGCAGGCCTGTGCTATGGCCTCATTTCCTTTACCCAGTCCTGTTTGGAGGGCCTAAGCTGCAGTACTCCAGCTAAGTTCTCCAGTACTGACTACATGGTACCAACAAGAGCACTCAAAGACAGCCGACTTCCAGTTCAAACCCCTCTGCATCTGGGATTCTCCTTTACCCTAAAAGCTGTAAGTTCCTCAGTCATGGCTCCTTCCTGCCCTGTCCTCCTCCTATGCCACCCTCTGACCAGCCAGAGGCCATGAGAGTCCCCCAAATATTTTAATCCTACAACCCATAATCTCTATATCGTATTCCCAGACCACAACTGTGTTTTTATGGCATTTACCTGCTCTAAAACATCCTGCCAGAAGCTGGACATGGTGACATACATCTGTAAACTCAGGAAGTAGAGGCAGAATCCAGAGTTCAAGGCCAGCTTCATCAACATAGCAAGTTTGAGGACAGGGCAGACTACATGAGACCCTCTTAAGATCGGGGTGGCAGTGCTGGAGAAATAGCTTATTGGTTAAGAGCATTTGCTGAACATTTTATTTTTAACTTTTATTTATTTATTTTTGTTTATGTATGAGTTTTGCCTGTGTGTTTGTGTGTGTGTGTGTGTGTGTGTATACATACTGTACATGCTTGGTTTCTATAGGTGTCAGAAAAGGTTGTCAGATCCCCTATAACTAGAGTTTGGATGGTTGTGAGCTAAGTGATGGATGGGTGCTAAGACCCAAACCTGGGTCCTCTACAAGAGTAACAAATGCTTTCTTAACTACTGTGCTACCTCTCCAGGCCCTGTACTTGCTGTTCTATTCCCAGCACCAGTATGAATGGTGGCTCATAACCATCTGTAACTCCAGTTCTAGGAGTTCCAGTGCCTGCCCTTTTCTGGCCTCTGTACCAGGCATATACATGTGCAAATACATATGTGCAAGCAAAATATTCACACATGTTAAAAAAAAAAAGTTTCTACCAGGCATAGTGGCATAGGCCTGCAATTCCAGTACTTGGCAGGTAGAGGCAGTGAATCCTTGCTCTAGAGGGAGTTTGAGGCCAGCCTGGACTACATGAGACTCCCTCGAGCCGGAAGGAAAGGCTGGGATATACCTTAGTGGCAGAGCACTTACTCAGCATGGTCTGTATTTGATCCTTAGCAGCACAGGTGGGAAGAAAAGGAATAGGAAAGTGAGCCAAAGAGAGGCTGACAGGGGGGTGGAATGTTCTCATCAGCTGGAATGAATGGAACGTGAGCATTCTGGCTTTGTAAATCCAGTCAACATCTCCAACATGGAGCCTTTCTTGAGTACCTTGAACCAAAGATGATTTCCTCTAGATGGTCATATTTGTACCTTATCACTTCTGTTCCCATACTGCCTTTTTTTTTTTTTTAAAGGCAGGGATTCATATATCCCAGGTCAGCCTCAACTCACTATTCAGCCAAGGGTGACTGAATTTCTGATCTTCCAGCTTTGCCTCTTGAGTACTGGAATTATAGGTGAGCCCTACCATGTCTGGCTTATGCAGTGCTGGGAATCAGACCAACGGCTTTTTGTATGTTCTGTAAACATTCTACCAACTGAGCCACATCACCTATACTGCTCTTTTTTTAAATGATTCTCTGTGAGAGATTAAACACATGTGGGAAAGGAGGGTGTGCATGCTTGGAGCTGTAGTTATAGGCATTTTTAGGTGCTGGCATACAAACTCAAGCACTCATGTCTGTGTAGTGAGCATTCTTTTTTTTTTCTAAATGTTTATTTATTATGTATACAATATTCTTTCTGTGTGTATGCCTGCAGGCCAGAAGAGGGCACCAGAACCCATTACAGATGGTTGTGAGCCACCATGTGGTTGCTGGGAATTGAACTCAGGACCTTTGGAAGAGCAGGCAATGCTCTTAACCTCTGAGCCATCTCTCCAGCCCTGTAGTGAGCATTCTTAACTGCAGAGCTGTCTCTCCAATCCCCATGCTGCCTTTTATGGTT